ACACATTAAATTTAGATTGAAATTACACTGAAGTATGATGATAAAACTTAAAAGAAAGGTTGAGCGAGAAAGAACATCGAATTCACTTTATGAGTTTCAGTAACAAATATTTAATAAGTTTGTTTGGTTCTAATTCCACTGTCCCAATCTGTCAATAAAAATAGGATACTATAGCAGTGTTATTTTTATAGTATGCTTTCACCAATTGTCCAACTGATTTTCTTTTGTCCAACTGATTTGAAGCTGTCATCATATGGCTTAAATTTCAACTTAACCAATTATCCAGATGGTGTCTATTTAATCATTTTGTTGCAATGATGCTCTACCATTTGGGTGTCACATGGGAGTACATTACTGTCTTGACACTGGATGAGGATCTCAACATGAATACTTTGAATGGCAATAGACAACTCTATTTTTAATTAAATGTTTTTACCTTACAGTATTTTTGCTGTTTTTGGTTCAGAATCTATTCGGCACTGGGAGCAATCATGCAAATGAGATACCTGTGGGTATCACTAGTCCTTCTAGTAATCTTGTTGAGCAGGTAAGAGTAGTAAGAGCTATCACAACCTTATTATCACTGTTTTCTTAATATTATTCATGATAGTATTTTTGGAATCTTTTATTCGAAATGATTAGAATGCATTTGTTCACTGTAAATCTTGGATCTGCAGGAAACTCTAGTTGATATTGGAAATGCTTCCAAAACTGAAATTGACATTNTACAGGTGTTCAACATTCAAGAATATAAAACCAGGAACTGAGAATCATATTACAATACATGATACTGAAATAATGAGCCATGCTGGGTTACATGATACTGGAATAGTGAATAGGATTAGACTGAGATAAGTATTCAGAACAAGTTGATTTGTCATAACTGAAACTCATAGAATATCGAATGATTATGAGACTAAGCCATCTAGAGAATAGAAGTCCTACTACTGATCAGGGAACTAAGGCATAGTTCCTTTATGAGGAGACTAGTAATGATCATAATGAATGGGACGTAGGGAGAATCATAGACATTCCCAAACGTAAATAGTTAGCCTTACATACCTTAACTTCCTGCCCTTGAGCGTAATACAACGTTTGTCAATCCTTTCAACTTCAATCTATAGCAATACAAGTCAAAGGGATTCCACATTAGCTATAATGCTCATGTTTTGGTCACTTAAGCATTTTGTCAAACACTTGGTAAAAATAAAGCTTCATAGTCCTTATTAATGGTGTCTCTAGACCCAACAACCCATTCTCTTGTTCCAAGATAAATTCTAAGGTCTCAAATGATTACACCAACATTATTCTTCATCACCCATAAGGCAAACAACACTCTTAACCAATAATCAACACTCAACACCCCAACCCTATAATCGTTCATGCTTTTCTATCAACCCCAACAACTCATGTATCATGAACTAGGATTTATAATCATTAAACCAATGCTAGAATCAATTAGAGGGTGAAGACATTACCTTTTCGAAGTTCAAACCCTTGATTTGCGAGTTCTAGGCTTCCTTCTCTCAACAATGATGTCCCAATCGAATATCTAATGATATGGAGGGTTTACCCATGTTAATAAGATGTTGGAAAAGTGAAATTAACTTAGAATCACCATTAGAACTTACCTTGGGTGGTGGAAGGACCCTTAAGGAGTTAGGTTTTTGAGAGTTCCCCTTTCTAGAGCAAGTTTTTATGTTTTGGGGCTGTGGGGGACGAAATATAGCTTTAAAACGACTCCCCACGCGCGAGTTCGCGCACCTGGAGGCTTGTTCGCGCGAGTGTTCGCGCATACGCGTACTGTTCCGAAAAACGCATATAACTTTTTGCAAAGAGAATTCGTTCGGGCTCCATAATATATCGTTGGAAAGATATTTCAAAGGTCTACAACTTTCATGCTTTGCGTTTTCCCCAATTCCTTACACATTTTCACTAAAACTTGATGGAAGACAGACCTTCTACAACTTAGTCGATTTTTGTCAAATCTTATGCACCTCTCTTTCCATTTTGACTTTTGAAACAACTATTTTACCCACAATCATCCCGTTGGGACTTCACATGTTCAAAATATAACCTTAACACTCATTTACCACATTCACACCTAAGCCGAATTTACGGGGTGTTACAAACCTCTACCTCCAGACGAGGTACCACTGAATCTGCCTGCATGACGGGGCCTCTTACCCGACCCATGACCACCTCCTTGTGGCAGAACCCTCTCAACTCTACGACCCATATTGGCCGCCTCCTGAAAAGTGATCTCACTCCCGGCCTGAGCCACTGTACCCGGCTGACCTGCCACCGCTGGCTGAACTCCTAGAAGCAAACCCGCTCGAATGACGCTCTCCACAAAGCCTACCAATATGACCAAAGCATCCTGAAGAACTGGGATGGCTATGAACCCCTCTGGGACCTGAGCTGGGCCCACCGGAGCTGCTGGAGCTGGGATCTCCTCGTCATAACCAATCTGAGGCTCCACCTCTGGGGCTGCTGTTCGGGGCTGAGCTCTGCCCCTGCCTCGGCCTCTGGCACGTCCTCGGCCTCGCCCTCTGCCCCTCGTAGGAGCTGCTGCTGGGGGCTCGGGCTGCTGCGCGGTAGAAGAGGAAGCACGTGTTCTCGCCATCTGCGAAAGAACAGAGTAGAAAGACAAGCAGTATTTGAGAAATGGAATCGCATGATAAGAAAGAACAAACGTGAAATTTTCCTAACTCTGTAGCCTCTGGGGATAAATACAGACGTCTCCGTACCGATCCCTCAGACTCAACTGAGTTTGTCCGTGAGTTGTGAGACCTATGTAACCTAGTGCTCTGATACCAACTTGTCACGACCCGGATTTCTCACCGTCGGGAGTCGTGATGGCGCCTACTATTAGGAGCTAGGCAAGCCAATTAATTATTAACCTTTTAGGAAAACATCGACAATATTAAGGCAATGAGACATTTAATATAAAAGCGGAAGTTTTAAATATAAATAAACTGAAAACAAGTGCGGAAATTCAATTACAACCTCTACCCAAGACTGGAGTCACTAACTCACGAACATCTATAGAATGCTAAACACAAGGTCTGAATAAAACACAATACTGTTTGTTCCGGTACAAGGATAACAAACGAATGACAAAGATAGAAGAGACTTCAGGCCATGCGGACGTCAGCAAGGCTACCTCGAAATTTCTAGACTGAATTCAGCTCCCAATCAATTACTGCTGTCCAAAAGCTGCTCCGACTCCGTGATCTGTGCAAAAAGATACACAGAGTGTAGCATCAGCACAACCGACCCCATGTGCTGGTAAGTGCCTAGTCTAACCTCGGCTAAGTAGTGACGAGGCTAGACCAGACTACCAGATAAACCTGTGCAGATATATATACAAGTACAACAACATAATAGCGGAAAGTAAACAATTAAAACTGGGAGGGGAACATGCTTATGGGGTAGCAGGTAAAACAGATTATCAGGAATAATAGAAGAAACTACACCTGATTTCTTCTAACACAGAATAAGGGAAAACAAACCACTTTCACTTGTTCAATGTTCTCTCGTTGCAGGCGTGCAACACGATCCCATTTCCTCATGTCACGTGGTAGGCGTACCACTCGATCCCATTTCATAATATCACGTGGTAGGCGTACCATTCGCTCCCATTTCATAACATCACGTGTTAGGCGTACCACTCGATCCCATTTCATGACATCACGTGGTAGGCGTACCACTCGCTCCCATTTCATAACATCACGTGGTAGGCGTACCACTCGATCCCATTTCACAACATCACGTGGTAGGCGTACCACTCGATCCCATTTCATAACATCACGTGGTAGGCGTACCACTCGATCCCATTTCACAACATTACGTGGTAGGCGTACCACTCGATCCCATTTCATAACATCACGTGGTAGGCGTACCACACGATCCCATTTCTTTCAACACAATACACAAAATAATCCCGGCGAGGGAACAAGATAATATAATAAACTATCCCGGCAAGGGAACAAGATATAATAAACTATCCGGGCAAGGGAGATCCAGCTATAACCAAACTTATTCAATTTCTACTTAACACAATTAAATCAATACTCATTCTCAACAATTACTGGCTGAGTGTTAAAGATTTCCAACCAAGTCCTCATAGACAACAATTAAGAATTCGATAATTTAGCAATTTAGGACTCACGGTCATGCTCGACACCAGTGTATAGATACTCGTCACCATGCCTATACACCGTACTCGACAAATAGCAATTAGCAACTAAGACTCTACTCCTATTCCCTCAAGCCAAAGTTGGACCAAACACTTACCTCGAATGCTCCAAACTCAACTCAAGCCTCTAGTATAGCTTTACCCCTCGAGTTCACCACCAAACCGCTCGAATCTAGTCACAAATTACTTTAATGTATCAACAAATGCTAATTGAATCAATTTGGATGCATGAAAATGAATTTCCCAAANTAAAAATAGGATACTATAGCAGTGTTATTTTTATAGTATGCTTTCACCAATTGTCCAACTGATTTTCTTTTGTCCAACTGATTTGAAGCTGTCATCATATGGCTTAAATTTCAACTTAACCAATTATCCAGATGGTGTCTATTTAATCATTTTGTTGCAATGATGCTCTACCATTTGGGTGTCACATGGGAGTACATTACTGTCTTGACACTGGATGAGGATCTCAACATGAATACTTTGAATGGCAATAGACAACTCTATTTTTAATTAAATGTTTTTACCTTACAGTATTTTTGCTGTTTTTGGTTCAGAATCTATTCGGCACTGGGAGCAATCATGCAAATGAGATACCTGTGGGTATCACTAGTCCTTCTAGTAATCTTGTTGAGCAGGTAAGAGTAGTAAGAGCTATCACAACCTTATTATCACTGTTTTCCTTAATATTATTCATGATAGATTTTTTGAATCTTTTTACTCGAAATGATTAGAATGCATTTTGTCACTGAAATCTTGGATCTGCAGGAAACTCTAGTTGATATTGGAAATGCTTCCAAAACTGAAATTGACATTCCTGCAAATTTTGACTAGTAAGTTTTGATTCTTTAAGACACCATTAGCCGATATAAAGTAGCTCTCCTTGCTAATATTTGAAACCTTGCACAGGTTGACAGCCCGTAATTATTGTTGTAACATACCCCGATTGCAGTGACATCTCCTTTTCCAGAGAGATATTACCATTTCAAACTAACCCTGTTAATTTGGAATGGATGCAAGTGTAAGTGTTGATGCTTGTAATGAGTAAGTAATACTATAGGTGCCTAGCCAATTCATACTAGTGTGATTAATCGCTTCCTGTACATCCTGAGCTAGTTGGAATTCTACACCTTCGTTGTATACTAATGGTGATGATCTCGTGTTTCTTTCAAAATCCTTTCTTTATTGCATAGTTTTACTTGGTACTTCTGGGATTTAATAACGAGTAATACTTGCTTCAAACCACCTGTAAGGACAGAGATTATTTCTACTTCATCCCGACTTGATTGATCTATAGAATCGGAACATTCCTTGTGCATATAGGTGGAGTATAATTAACTATGTTTTCTGACTTAGCTGCATCGTACCCAGATCAGTGAATGATGATCATCTCGTTTTGCTGGTGATAGACTTGGGTTTTAAAAATTGAGTGTGCCCCCTCTTCTCCCAGATAGAAAGGAAATAAGAAGTTAAAACTGAACTTTAGATTCTCTTTTTATTTTTCATCCAATTTACCTGATTATCAAGCACCTGACCCTCAGTTACACCCATAATTGTTTCTTTTTTTCCTCCTCTTAATAAGAAAGCTTCTACAGTACTTCTTTTTAGCTGAAATGCATGGAGACAGTGAACCCAAGCTCCCCCCTCCATGGCAGTGCAAAGTTAATATAGATACACATGCGCACTAAATCTGTACCTGTTGTCACAAAGCCACCGTGGGTATGGTAGTGTCCACATTCTACTGATCTAAAGTCTTGAATCCTGTCTCTAAATAGGATTAGATATTTTAGTCTTGTTCTACCCGTGGGTCGACACTTCATGTTAAGTCCATTGACCCCAGCTCCTTACATTTCTGAGCAACATTGGTCTTCCTATATGAGATTGTTCCGCGCTAACGAGAGTACCAAAGGAACTCATTTGACTGAGGCAGAGATGCTATTCCATTCAGGATATCTTATTTGTTCTTTTGCAAATCATATTTAATGTACAATCGACCGAATGTTGAAGTAATGCAAGTAAACGAAATTGCCATTTAAAGTATACTTTGCATATTTTGAAACTACAATATATATTACCAGTTGTTCTTCTCCGTTCTGAAATGTTACAAATTGTCTTACAAGATTGTGCTCAAGATTATAGTAGAATCTCAAAAATCGTCAAATGACAGTACTAAATGAGCAATAAACTCCAGTACAAATTAAAATTTGGGACTTGGAATTGTGTATTTTTTCCCTTCTCAAGGACTTGAAATTGTATTTACGAACTTAAAAGGTAAAGGAAGAAAAATGTTACATCAGTTCGGAAACAAGACTAATGTTGTGCGTAGAACTAGCAGCAGTTCTTGTTGCTTGAGCCGAGTCTTTATTGGAAAGAGCTTCTCCACCTTGCATGAGGTAGAGATAGGTCTGCGTACATCCTAACCTCCTCATACCCTACATATGAAATCGCGCTGGTATGTTGTTATTGTTGTATACTAGGGCAAAATGATGAATGCTTTGAAGAATGCAGGAGGCACAGATGTTTACAGTTCATGTTTGCCTATACAAAATAATAATATTACTCCCTCCGATTCACAATAAGTGTCCAATTTACTTTTTCATTTTGGTTCAAAATAAGTGTCCAGTTATGTAATCAAGAAAGAATTCAATTTGTTTTTACAAAATAACCCCTATGTACATATCCCTAAAAAGTTTTCTTACTCCTCAAATTAAATGTTTAATTAGGGGTAGTTTAGTCATATTAGGTATTTTTGTATAGAATTTAGTATTTTCTTAACTGGTGTGCTAAAAGTAAATTGGACACTTATCGTGAACCGGGGGGAGTAACTTTTTTTCTGGAAGATGTTTACTTTTGCCTCAGTGTATATGTGAGCGAATTTGTAAGTTGTCAATCCACGACGAATTTAGGTGGATGTTATAGTTAGTTTATTGTTGAATACTGTGATGTACTTATTATATATTTAATGAAGCATTGCTCTCCTTTTCCTTTTACCTCTTCATTGCCGTTCATTCATGCTTCATTGATTGACCAACTTATTTTTTCCTAACAGATATGGCTCGAAAATGAATACATAATTGAAACAAATATTATTGCATCTAAAGAAGGAAATCTAAAAATGCAAAATCAGGGGAAAAATGCATTGTACGTATATTAAAGAGCAGCAAGGAGAAATACACAATTAAATGGATAAAGCATCTACGATTACATGACAATTCATGGTTGGAAATATTTACCTAGAAATTGATTTTTGATTTATTTTTCATTCCCATGAGCCTAAAAAGTGTATCCGTGCTTCTCAAGTTCACTGTGGCAGATATGGGCTTCAGAAATAAGTGCAGAAGCAACCATATAACAGCAGCAGCTGCAGCAGAAAAATGGGAAGCTTATGCTCCGTCTATAATGTAATAGTTGGACTGAATTTGTGATATAGTGGCCGGAGTGGACATTTTTCAGGTGGATGGCTCGTTTTCATTCTAATTTCTTAGAAAGTATTTGACACGGAAACTAAAAAGGAAAGAATTTTGACACAACAAATGCAAAATGTTCATGAATTACAAGATGCCCTTACTCCTCAGTACCAAAATCCGAAGATAAGTTTTTCTATCCAATGGGGCATGTAGTATCCAATTTGAGAATGTAAAGATTAATATATAGAGATGTCAAACTCTTTGTAGGACAGAAAGGAACAAATTACTAAACAACATGGAGGTCTGTATATACTATATTTTAAGTGTGAAGACCTTAAGTCAAAGTTAAAAGACTAAAATGGCCATATAAAGTTGAATAACAATTTTTCCCTTCAAACAAACATTATTTCTACACCACTTTTGCACAGAAATGTAAATATAGATTTAAATAAATTTATTAAGCTACTGGACATCTTTTCAACATGCAATGTATGAGAATATGAAAATGCAATGGGAACATTTTTTTGAATTACGTGGGGACATTGATTCTTGCAATCTTGAATGATATATTAACTATTATTTATTTATTATAATTATTGATGATAAGTCATATGAAAAGTCATTTTAAGCACTATATATATTGAGAACAAAAAAGGTTGACAGCAACTCATAGTCTTTTCTCCTTCTCCATTCTCAAAACTGCCTTCAGTGACCTTTGTAAGAAACTGATTCGAACGTTGTAGGACTGACCTAGAAATACATATAGCATGAAGAAAACCAAAGGATCAACATATATTTTTAATGTGTACGAAGAAGTAAGTTTGATCAGCTTTACACTACTACCAACAGTTAGGTGCTAGCTATATATTCCTATTCAAAATGGTTCACTGCCCATGTAAGAACACAGTGCCTTTATGTTAATTAATTTTTTGATAGTACCGGTTGCTACCACCATTTGTCCTTCACGTTGCATCTTATTTTCCTATCCTTTTGTCTATTTGTTTTTATTTTTTGAATTTGATAATTATAAGTTACATATTACAGTACTATTATTGATTTAGTTTTAACTCAAGAACATCTATGCTTGGTTCTCTTAATTAACTAAAGCCCACCATGCTTAATGCTAATTTTGGCATTAGTATCGATCTACTATGTAAAGTTCGTTATAAGTGTGAAGCCCTAAGTCAAAAGCTGAAAGACCGAAATAACCTTATAAAGTTGAATGACCATAAAACCCATTGAAAAATAAATGTATTACCTTCTTCATAAAACTGTTACTTTAAACAACATTCTCTTTGTTGTTAGAGAAATATGAAGAATTTGAGAAGTTATGTTGAATAATAAATAAATATACTAAATTCATTGTATATTTAATAAATGGACCATATTCAGACACATTGAAACACAACGGATGAATTTTATTCCTCGTTCCCTTTCTTCCGTTGAATTGCATTTAAGTTCTTACATAAAGTTTATGTTACAATCTTTCCAACTTACTTGTCTTTCTCCTATTTAAGAACAATCTTTACAAAAACTTTACATAAGTCTTCACTTACAAATTGAAGAGAGATTTTGGTACTTTTCGTGGAAAGAGAAGTTGAGACGACAGCGACATTAGTATTCATTGCATCACTTTGAACCTTCTTCTTTCCACTCTCAGAAAGATGGCATATGTAGCAATCCTCAGGTTAAGGAGCCACAAGAGCATATTCACAAGAATATGATCACTATTTCATCCTAGAATATTAAGAATTTAGAATTAAGGTTGAGGTTACTATTAGATTCATTTTCTCCCTTAAGATAGATTAGTTGCTCTTTAACTAGATGATATGGTGGTTTGATTTAATATGCAGATTTATAGTACTAGCTTTTTGAAATTACTCCTCCAATTTTACTGCTAAGAAAAAGTGTTAATTCTGTCACTCTCTCTCTACACTCCAATGCTTAATTTGTACTTTACTTGTGGTAAACTCGGAGTAAACTTTTGAGTTTTGAGTGTTTAGAGCAATTTTAGCAGTAACATATTTTGAAAACTTTGGTACAGCTCTTATTTTATCACTTAAATGTATAAATGAGTAAAGAACTTAATTTGCTGCGAAATATAACGTTGTATACAAATATGTAACTCATAGTTGTTACCGTTCTAACTTCATTGTCCCTATTTTAGGAGGAAAGTGAAAGTTCTCATTTTTATTTTTTATGAATGCTTGTATCATTTTAACTTCTTAAAATGTTAAATTTAAGTGAAAGAAATTCAAAATTGTTAAAATAGGAGAAACTCATGAAAGACTAAAGATATGCCTAGCAAGAGGTTAGAAGAGTTAAATTTATGGTGATGTGTTGGTACTATATATAATAAATATGTGTTGTATGTGTACGACTAATAGTTGCATATTTATTTATATTAAAATTATATTGGGATTAATTAAATTTTTGGATAAAATCAATCATCGATTTATATAATTTTAAAACAAGAAGAGAAACTCTAATCGATAGTGTCATTGTTGAAACTTTTAATCGAGATTGAGTTGCTTAGATAGTAGGATTTCTGACTTCATTCGTAAGAGGTATTACGGATAGGTA